TACGCTGAAGTTTTTATATTGTTGATAGTAAGTTAAACTCAACCTAAGATTCTCACAAGCTCTTTTCTAAAAATCCAAAGAGTGAGTTGTAAAATACTATAAAATTTTTGTTGCATATTTTTTTAAAATTTTTTTTTCATTCTGGACCAGAATCAGTAACTCAATTTATGACTTTTTATAAGAATTGTGGAATATTTTGACCTCTGTGTTGTCCTGATAGCAATAATGGCTCGGTTCTGTACGTGTCTGGTAAGGTTGACATGAGGTCTGCTGCCATATACAGCAGACCTAGGTCAAGTTTAAATTCTTAATATTATTTGATCATTTTAGCTTTTATCATTTATTACAATGGTTATACTCATGTATGGAGAGAAGATAAAAATTGCAATAGTTTTTCTTCCATTCTAACGCAAAACGTCTAATTTTGTTACAATTAAAAACATTATAATTCACTTCTAACTTCTTCTGATGATGACTAGCGTGGAGTAAATTATCATGAATTTGATTACTTGGAGATTAATTATCATGTTGAGTATCAATGAAAAAAGATAATTACCCTTTTTCATCATAGTTTATGTAATAAGTAATCTTTTACAAGGCTTATTTCTAGTGTATGGTAAAAGCTTTCACAGTTTCCATTTTTAATTTTTCTTATGTTCCATTCCCTTCACAAGGATAATAGCAGTCTCAAGATCAGATATCGTATGACCAGACATTTGGAATTGAATATCCTGACACAAATCTAACTTGAACACCTCTACAGCGGTGTAAACTGTTACTTGCATCATCATCTCAACGGCTTCAGGAGGCCCATCTTTAACAATAAGACGGATTATGGTCTGTAAAATTTTAGTAATTTTTAGTCCATAATCAGATGCAGTTTTTTGCATTCCCTGGACCGTCAAGATAGTTCTGCATAAAGCTTTGTTAGACTTATTGGTGAAGAAAATAACTTTTTAAGCTCGGGTAAGAATTGGTCTAGGGTTGATTAGTTTTTACACATTGTTTGATTGTGAGCATTTCTGATGATTTCAAATTTAATAGTTTTCCCAAAAAGATCTTCGTCCTTCTGATTAAAATATTTTTTCAGAGTTTGGTATTTTGTAGTAAATATAGCAATCGGAATTTTCATTGAACTCAGGAATCAAGTTGGTTAATGCATATGACTTTTCGCTAGTTCTTCTAGGTTTGATGATAAAAAGTCTTACTGACGCAATCTGATCGTTGCTTGTGTTGTTAACTTTAGGCTCAGAACTGTCAAGCTGTAGTTTTATCCAGTTAAAATCGTACAAAAATTTTCATACTGGGAGTTCTACTATTCGTTGGCCTGTAAATTCGATAATCATATTTTAGGATGTACTTATGAAATGCTGAAGGTTTTTTATAAATTTTCGACCATGGAGTCACGTATGCCACAAATTAAAGATAATTAGATGAATGGGCTGCCGATGTCCCCATCTTAAGCTTGATGTTTAGGTAATGCTTATTAAACCCGTAAAAAACTTCGGCGTCCTTGGCACTTTTCTAAAGATGACCCTTAGACGCATCCTAGTGTGTCCTACTTTTCTTGGGTATTTTTAATAAATGTTCAAGTATATTTTGTACATGACCTCTAGGAGTACCATAGTACTTTTGAAATGCTGTAGAACACTCAGCTTGTCAATAGAATTAAGGTTTATTTCTCAAGGAAAACTTCTATGTACAACCTGACATTCTTATTGGTCTTCAAAAACAGTAACTAGGTATTGTAGAACTCTAATCAGCAAAGTAAAGGTTAAATTTCTGATGATAACCTCCAGGTATACCCTGTCACTCTTATTATTTTCAGGGACAATCACCAGGTGTCATGGAACGCTGATCAGTAAAGTTAAGGTTCACTTTCTGAGGATGACCTTCAGGTGCATCCTGACATTCCTATTTTTCTTCAGAAAAAATCAATAAGTCTCGTAAGAAACTAAATTGTAGGTTTGAAGTTCTCTTTCTGAGGATAAACTCTAGGTGCATCCTGACACATATATTTTCCTTTAGAAATAGTTACTTAATGCCGTAGAACACTAATAGATAGAGCTTAAGCTCACTTTCTGAGAATAACCTTCAGATGCACCCTGGTACTCTTGTTATCTTCAGGGATAGTCACTAGGTGCCGTAAAACTCTAACTTATAAAGTAAAATTGAACCTTCTGATTATGACCTTCAGGTCCATTTTACCACTTTCACCAAAATGGGTTTCTGTTACAACCTGAAACATGGACATAAAGCAAGAAAATGTAAATGGCATGCTCCAACCAAAGGATGGTCTTAGGCAGTTCATCAGGTGCTGAAGCACGAGGTATCCCTTGTGATTGACCTGAGCCCCACGCAGTTTTTTCTTGGAATCGATGTCAAGGTTTCCTCTCCTTGAAGATAATGTCTAAGTACACTCAGAGATACTTTCCATTTACGTGCACAGTGTACGTTTGGCGTTCAGCAGCATGATAGTGTGTCAACACCCAACTAGCTGAGTGAGTACCGAGCGCTCACTCAGCTTTCAGAGGATCAAATTTCGTTTACTCACAAATCTGAGTGAACGCACTCGACGGGCCGTACGAGTGTCTAACTGACACTGAGAATATCATACGTATACATGGACGTACACGTGATAGACATTGCTGATTTCAAAGGACAGTATTTCTTTACGAAAGTGTTGTTACTTGAGCAGAAAACGTTGACTAATATATTACAAATATTTTACAATAGATTTCATAAATAACGAGTTCTTAAATTTTGGTGCTTTAAATACAAACGTGCCGTTGCCGATTGATATGACCTATGTTAAAAAATATCAAAAATGAAAAATATAATTAGCAGAATCACTGTTTTTTGGTAGAAATTTTGGTTAGATTGCAGGTAATAAAGTGCCTCATTCTGATAATGCATGGCAATAGTAAATATTTTTGCGAAATATCATCCACCATTTTAACATCTCCTACAATAACTAAGACCGATCTTTTTCAGTTAGAGATTTATACAAGTGAACAGCATGAATTGTATTTAAATTTGTATGACCATTTAAAACCAAAATTTTTTCTGCCAATTCATCATATTCGTAAAATATTACAAAATGGTCCTCCGATAAAAGTTTCTGCATTGAGATTTAAATCCAAACACCAAGAGCTAAAAGCAATTGTACAAGCTCAAAGTTCTAGGATAAATATTTTAAAAACTATTGCTACTAGGTATCTCTTAAAATTATTGAATTGTTCTTTTATATCATACAAAAAACTAAATATCGAATACGCTACTATCGCGTCCAATAATATTATTTCTTCTTTTTTTCCTCTTTTTGAAGACAAATGTTGTTTAACTAAAGTACTTATTAATGATGTAACTGTTATAACTAGGAACTGTAATAGTAGCTTGTATTAAAGAAAATAATCCTAAAGTGGGAGAAGTGCCAGAAATTTGCAAAACACAAGATAAAATGTATTTCTTATACGTTTTATTCAAAACAATTGGCTTCGATACGCTATTTTTGCTTATAGCGTTTTCAAAAATATTAATGAAAAAAAAAAAATCTCTTATCAAAAATTTCGTGACCGCTATCCTTGTATAATTGTAAAAAAAACGATTGTTACTACGTTGCCCCTAGGCATCGATTGTAAAGTCTAGTGCGATCAATTAAAAAATACTAAAAGGTATTGAACGAATTTTTGATGAAATAAAATTTTGTAAAAAAAATTCCGTCTTATACTTATTACTTAAATTTTATTTTGTGTACAAGTAACGACAGCAATGTCACCCTTCAAAGTGAAATGATAAACATTATGTATATATTTGCACATGTATAATACGTATGTATACGTATGATATTCTCAGTGTCGGTTAGACTGATACTAATAACTTATGACTAAGACTGAGGTACTAGCCATAGGGTTTTGTAGACGATTACTTTAAACGCTTATTTTACCTGAAACACTTCACCATGGGCAGATATTTGATGTAGACTAGCTCGTTAAACTCTTCTGAGCTTTATATATACGCCAAAAGACGTACAATCAGTCATATAAGCCTTGACCTTGGGATCCCCTACTTGAGAATCTGATGCAGGGTAAGACTTTAAAAAGCATTAGAAATCTCTACTATCAAGTGTTTTCACTAGTCCTATGTTTTTTCTCGAGAGGGTGACATTTTCGTTGGTTCAGTAAAACAGAATTGATTCCTAACAACGCTTTTCATACAGAACTATCTGATAAAAAACCTCAGTATAACTTACGAGCTCCAGTAATAATGTGAGTGAGTTTAAGCTTTATAAAGAATTGTTGTATCAATCTCACTTTTTTTTATCGAAAAATAACATAAGAAGAATAAATAAGCTGTCTTATAACATATAACTGCTGATTACTTTTAAATTATTACTTCAAATACAAAATTTTCTCTTTTGTTCAATATTATTAAAAATCAAACTTGATAGCTTTTTTGGAACAACGTTCACTTACGTATACCGTAGGTGTTTTTTATTTTTTTTTTTTTGTGTGATCATGTTGGATTGCTGCCTAATCTTCCTGAATCAAGTACTCATATTTGATAAACATCATGTATATCCATGCACATGTATAATACGTATGTATACGTATGATATTCTCAGTGTCGGTTAGACACTCGTACGGCGTGGCCCGTCGAGTGCGTTCACTCGGATTTGTGAGTGAACGAAATTTGAATTTTAGTTACAATATTTTGTCGCATTATTTGATACAACTGAATCAGTAAGATAACTATCGCATTATATTCACAAATTTTTAATTATTTTCAATAATATTATTTTTCGTACAGAGAAGTTGTAAGCATAAGACAACCATATTCAACAGCCTTCTACTAGATTACCTAGAACATAAATAAATCAAAATTCTAACGACGTTGTGTGTAATTAAATATTATAATGCCTATAAAACTGTGAAGTTGTAGAAAAATAAGTTTTTTGTAGTACTCATTACTGATAATAATAATTAATTTCAGATAGTAACTTGCTTTCAGTCAAGTTATTTAACGAGTCTGAATTACACTTTCATCGAGTAGATAGACAGCAAATGGGTACTTATTTATGTATTGCTAGTAACGAGGTTCATCCTGCAGTGAGTAAAAGAGTTACTCTTTCAGTAAATTGTATGTTTCATTTTTTTTATTGCGAAAATCTAAATAGTATTGTTCAATGAAAAAAACTTAACTGTTTTCCTTACAGTTCTGCCAAATGTACAAACCTTAAACCAATTACTTGGAGCACCATTGGGGACGGATGTTCTTCTTGAATGTCGTGTCGAAGCTCATCCAAATGCAGTCAACTATTGGTATAGAAATTCTAATGATATGTTACTCAATGGGTAAGATTATATTTAAAACTGATTTAAAATATTAATAATACCATAGTTTTCTAAAAATTACAATAATAAGGTTTCTAGTAATGCTTGTGATAGAGCCATACAACAAAATATGTTTTTTTTCGCTTCTACACTCTGTAGTAATTTTTTAAAAGCTGAGTCATGAATTCAATATCTTCTATAACTCTCAGTAAAATAATGTGAACGCTTTTGTAGAAAAAAGTTCCTGGCATTTGTCATTGCACCACTCTTTTTTTTTTATTCTCTTTTAATACCATTAAACTTTTTATTTTAATTCTTTGACCTTATCAGGATACACTTACAAGCCCTTATAACACGAATAAATAAACTTTTTTTTGTTGAAACTTTTCACCTCCATACCTTTTTTGTTTTTAGTTAAACCTACTAATGGTTGTACTTTTTGACTACCATGGCAACATTTTCAGAAGATTCTTATAGCCCTAAACACTTTCTGTCTTATGACTCTACTACATCTAAAAATATTTTGACAATATAAAAACAACGTGAAACTTTGTTTCGCATGAAGTTGTACAATGAAGAGTTAACATCTTACCGATAATCTTAATAATTAATCGGTAAACGAAAAGTGCCAAAAGCATATGTGTACATACAATGAAAAGCAAAATTATTGTTCTGATTTTTTTGACAGAGTACTAGAACTATAAAGAGATGAATGGTAATAACAAAGGTGAAATCATGTTATTTTTGTATTATGTTGTTAAACAGAAGCTTAAAATTATGTGTCTTACATCTTTTATTACATATATTTAGATGTTTAAATTCTCAAACTATCATTTTGGCATAATACTTTTTTATTTTGTGATGGTATTTAATGTTTCTCTTGGATCGAAGCCAAATAAACACTTCAATGTCTTACTTTCATTTTGTTTATAAGCTGACTCTATGATCTTAATTATTGAACGTCACGTCAGTCAAAACTTGCAACAGGAAGGTATGACTTTATGTAATTTGTGAAAATTATTTTAACGTATACTAGGTTAAAATAATGCATGTTGCATAGCTATGGATTTAATTCAAACATGATAATCTTAAATACAAACTTAAGATTTACAGACAAATGAGTAGCGGAGGACATTTGAGTTAAGAGCAGAAAGTAAATCAATATACTTTTACAAATAAAAATTTAGTAACAGGAAAATAAGTATAATTTTTTTATGCAAGTACACTCAAGTAAACTGAAAAAATATTAATACAATAGGTTGTAGGTAAAGTAGAGGAGAATCTTATGTAAAAAGGAGCCGGAAAATTAAAAAATGTATGAGTTAATATCACTGAAAGTGTTTTATCGTAATCAATTGAAAAACATTCATTCAGCACTTTTCATGTAATACTTCTTCGTATAATCCAAGTCATACAATGAAAACATATGTAATATGCAGACATATAAGCACATATTTTATGCAAATGTGCCTTATACATAATATATTGTGCAGAGTTATATGTTTGGGAAAGGAGTAATTGTGAGAAAAAAAGAGTATTACAAATGAGAAGTGTTTTCTACATAAAATGAAGAGTAACTATATAGAATTTTATGCATACAGATTGATTTGTGGAGTGAAGACTTTATTGTTCACCTTTTTACCTTTAATTATTTTTGCTTGATAAAAGTATTTATCTTGTCATGTTCCGTAACGCATTAACTATACGTAAATTACTTGTCAATTTGAAAGTTAAATTAACATTAAAATGTTATTTAATTGGTAGGAAGCCTTTAATTATAATATTAAAAATTTCTAGAGAAAAATCTAAATGTATATGGTTAACTGTTTAATTAACATTTTTATGGGTTCAATAGTTGAAGTTGTAACAAATTTCAACATTACCTTTAATATTACTCAAAAAGTTTTTATGAAAAAGTCTATCTATTACATATTGTTTTAATAACATTGTTCAAAGATGTATTAATTGTATCACTATGAGTTTTTAAACAATTGTCGTTTGCTAATCAATCAAAAGAAATTTCAAATTTGGCAATTTTCTCATTAACTGCATCTAACAGCACTGATAAACAGTTTTCTTCAACACAACATTGTTTTTTTCAAAATTTTTAGTAGTTAATTGTTGCTATACTTATAAATATTTTAGTGTTTTATCTCTTATTAATTATCTTTAATAGTTTTTATTATTCATAAGATTTGACAGAAATTTCATACTTTATTTACTTACCTCGACCGGACGAATGTACAGAGGAAAACAACTCAACTTTCTCTAGAGAACAACCACTGAGTTTTCAATTAAAATACAAACCATCGAGTATTTGCTATAAACTAGTACAGACAATTTTTCTTACTAATAATATGCTAAAAACGAGACAAAAGGGCTGGGGGCTCAGCTAGCATAAAGATTGTCTTAAATGAATATAAATTTAGTTGAAGAACTATCTAACATCTATTTTTCTTAATAAACCTGAAGAAAATTCTACAACTTGACGGAATAGTCCAGAAGTTAGCGAGCAGTACAAGAAAATGGGTGGAGCTCTACTAGTATATATACGAGTGCGCTTCACCCCCTGTGCACTTCACGCACTAATTTTCTAACTACTTTATTTTCAACTCTAAAATGTGAGTCACGTGGCTTAATATTTCAAAGAGTAATGTATCATCTAATTTACATAGTTTTCTCTAAGGACTAAAAATATTTTTTTCCTTTTTTTTATAATTCATAATTGCATAAACCGAGCAGAATCTTCTCAAATGTTATAAACAATTGATATCATCTATTACACAGGCCCCCAAAGATAAACAAATTTTTTTAATGCGGCATAAACAAAATGTTTCTTTACGTATTTTTTTGTTCTTGTTCTTAATTCAAAGTCAGAAAAGTGGATCCCAAAGTGAAATTTTGAAAAAAGTCGCAGTTGAAGGTCACAAAATTCAACAATCTGCTTGAAAAATTTTTCGATGGAGATGATAAAAAAGATAGTAGAAACTTTTTTTTTTACAGCTAAATTAAATTTTGAAATGTTAAGAAGAATCATGCTATAATCATGGATGAATTAAAACAACTTTGTCATTTATTTGCAATGATAAGAAAGAAAATAAAATAATAACGAATTAGGAAACATATTTCAGAGATCATTTCGTTATGCTTAACAGTCTTAATGATTTAAAAAAAAGCTTAAGTAATTGTACACAAAACATGAAATGATTTAACTAATAATGCCTTGGCATTAAGAGGGATTTCAATTCGCTTATGAAGTGGTTTCAGGTGAATGATTCCAGTCATTAAGTACGGGTAACAGACAAAAAATAACAGTTAAAGTATTTGATTTGTTGTTAATCAAAATAAAAAATAAAAATATGAAATTATTCAACTTTCCTGAGAAATAGTAATACATTCATTAAAAAGTTCGTAAAGATAAAGAAAGTAAAAATGTTTACCTTCATGAAGTTATTTTAACAACTTACAGTAAATTATTTTATATCTTGAACGAAAAGTTCTTAGCTCACTAAAAGAAATGAAACATACTTATTACAGTAAAGATTATCCAAAACTGGAAAAAAAAACCGCATGAATGATAATATGGATATGAGCTTTCTAAACCCTTAAGTCTACACGTAAAGGCTCGTCACCATATGTCTTAAGCTTAAAAGTCAATGAAATTGTTTATAAACTCATAAACTTTTATTTGTTAAAAAGAAAGTCTTATTGCCCTAGACTTTGCATTACTGCATTATTTTAAAGTATCTTTGAAGTAGCAATAACAACTAAAAATGAAACTGGAAAGAAAGTGTTCAGACCAAGAATCACATTGAATAGTGTGAATAATTTATCTTTATTATTAGGACTATACAGAAAACATTTTCGGTTGGTCTAGCTTTTTTTGTGACAATTACTTAATCATAGTGCCAAAGCTTGGGTTAGTTAAAATTGTACTATAAAAGACACGTGCTTCCTCACAGTCAGCTTCATGCAATGCTTTTTAAATGTAAAAATATTAATAGTTTATTTATAGAAAATTATACCAGAAACAATTTAAATGAACAAAATATAATAGCAAAACCAATGTTTGTTCATAACTATCATTTGAAATTTTTTTTTCAGTCTGCAACGGCAGAAAACACTCGTAGTGATGAAATTGTTTTTTGACAAAATCAAATCAAACATTTTCTTTTATTTTCTTCACGTTACTTTCTTTAAAGCACCCTTTACACCAACTGTATTTATAACAGACCTTTTCTTAACATAAAGTATTTTATCGTTTACCAAAATAGAAAGAAAATTATGCTAACTCATATAAAGATGAACAATAAGCGTGAATTATGTTTTAAAGAAAATCTTATTATTAAAAATTTCTCTGTGTCACTTAAAATGCAAGAGGGTCTGAAAAAATTAAAAGGAGCCTCTTGAGTTATTGGTGGTAAAGGATAGTTTTATTCCTGTAAAATATTTATTACTAAGTTAGTCAAATAGAAAAATACAAGAATTTTTATATATTTAAATTAAATCCATCCTGAAAGAATCAGTATCCCGTGACTGTCGACAAAATACGTCGTGATCTGATTGGTTGTAAGGAAAGAAAAGTGGTACATTTAAATATGTACACATAAGATGAAGTAGATAAGCCCTGACTACATCTAGCACCCTATAGGCTAATCGAAGTTGATTTTTTCATTTGAGCTTAGATTTATTAAAAATTTTATCATTCAATTCAGATAAAATATTAAAGACGAAGATATTATAAATATTTTTTATCAAAAAAGTTTGGGAGGTTGTCAAATGCCGTGTGCAGGAGGCAAAGCCCCTTAGTGAAAATATAACGTAGACTGTTCAAGTAAAATATTTTCCTGAACATAACAAGTGTAACTTTTTCTAAAATAATAATGGCATGAGGCATTTTTAAAAGACAAACTGCTCTTGACATTATGACGTATGCGTCTTTTAACATATAATATTTATTTTGGTAGTTCAGGTCACAACTCCTTTTTCCACACGTTTTATTCCTCTCACATGACACTTTA